TACATTGTTACGCCAGTAGGAGGCAACAAGTGACTGCATTATGAGAGACTCACTGAATCATTCATTCAAGAGATTCGTTCAATCAAATTGAAGATTCATCCGCGAATCAAACACAATTGTGTGATTTTTTTCGTGGATGAAGCAAAACTTTTGCAAAAGTAGACTAAGTAACTCGTAAGTTGATCAAAATTATCTTCTTGTTTATCGAACTGTTGTATAACAGCAATATCACAATCGTGCTGTTTATACTATCTGAGGGGAGACACACATTTATTAACAAACTTCTGAAATACATTGACAAATATAAACCTACTGCTAAAACAACTGTAACTTTTTTTATTTCAGACTTGAGAGGAACACAGCTTGTAAGGAATGTTAGCATTAGCTTATGATTTCATTCATGTCACTTTGCTGCAGAGCTTGTTGGTATTTTCTGTAAACGTTTCAACTATTTCAAGACAAGTTGTTGTCATCTGTCTCAGCACAGTTAAAGTTAGAGCATTACTGTAAACACACTTTTGTGTTTGTATTTGGAATAAATGTGGACATATTCAGAAATGAAGAAACTGCTTCACCTGTTTCACACACAGCTAACATTGTTTTCCGCTCTATTTGGTAAATATTTAACCAGGTCGATATGTTTGTTGAAAGTGAAACTATTACAACAGACTCAATGTCAAACAGGACGGCGCTGTGAGGGGGAAACAGGGAAACTGAATTCACCGGAACACCGTCAAACAGGACATTTTGTGAAAGAAGCATACGAAACACATCAGGAGATAAAAGCTATTTGTGAATAATGTGAAGGAGTTTGAGAACAGATCAGTTTAATGCTGCTATCTAGAGACTGAATGGATTTATAAACTGAATGAAGATTGTTTGATGTTCTTCATTCTTGAGACAGAGGTAGGTTTATACACATTTCTTCATTTGTTCTCTTCAATAAATTATGTGCAAATTTACATATTATATTTCTATCTTACCGTAATATAAGAGTATTTTCATATGCTTCATATACATCGAAGTATTTGCTGATCAAATTCAGTCTGACCTTTTGCAGTCAATCAGAAATACAGAAACAAAAACTAAATAAAGCTATAAATAATTCCTACAGTAATTAGTGTAAATGTGAAGAGTGATTTCTCAGCGATGAAATTAGCACATCAGGGTTTCAGCAACTCTATTGGCTTTGAATCTTAGCTGTTCACAGAATCAAGGTTGTATTGAGGAACAAGTGAAAATTTAAAAGAGTTGAAGTTCAAAAGATCACAGTCCTCACGGTCATAAATGATTTTAGGAGTCGTTTCTGAAACTACTGAGCTGGGTGTTGAGTTGATGGTGATTGTTCATCCAAAGTTTTGTGGCTCAGAGCGTGAATGTTAGGGCTGTGTATCACCAGCAATGTCACGATACGATACGTATCACGATACGGGACTGCAGTGAATTTCACCTCAGAAGAATTTAGTAAAACAGCTGTTTATTAAACACTGCATACTATAGGGCTGTTGCTAACTATTGGCAGAACAGGCACTTGACCTCTGCATTATGAAGGGCTTCTATAATTGTACCACAGTACAGTCATGGCCAAAAGTTTTGGCAGTGACATAAATTGTGTTTTGCAAAGTTTGCTGCTTTAGAATTTGTAGATTATTATTCCACATGTTTCTATGATATACTGAAAAACAATGATAAGCATATCATAAATTTTAAAGGCTGTTATTGGCAAAAAAATATAATGAGTCAATATTTACAGTATTGACCCTTGTTCTTCATAACCTCTGCGATTCGCTCTGGCATGCTGGATATTAGCTTCTGGGCCAAATCATGACTGATGGCGATCCATTCTTGCCTTATTAGTTCTCGGAGTTGATCACAATTTGTGGGCTTCTGCTTGTTCACTCACCTTTTGAGGACTGGCAA